ATGGTATATTTAATAACAGGATAACATTTTTAAAATGATTATATAATCATGTATTGTGTATTTTGTTGCACATTAAACACCATAAAATGTTTACAAAAATTATATACATACGCAGCAAACACTGCCTTAAAATAAAAACCATACCAATGTGTAGTGTATTCATATTTGATACGATATCATATAAAAATTCCGTATAGCATACAAATTTTCTTTTGTTTTCGTATTTTATTGATATAAAAAAAATCATATTGGTTTGGTATATATTGAACTAGTATTATTATGGTTTTTTCTTCCTTTGTAGAAAAATTGTAAGATATCTTTAATGCAAACATATTACGTCTAATAACAGAGTATCGCGGCATTTTTAATTGTATATCCGCGTTTTCTTGGCCTACGAGAAAAAGGGGAATGCATCGAGATTTGATTTATGATCTGGCACCTAAACCAGGTTTGGCCAAAAAATGTGGCCTCCAAAAAGTGTAAACATTTTCGCAGGTGTCGAAAGCAGAGCCAAATATTTTGCGGCAGGCAAATGGCCAATTTAATTAGTTTCCCATTTTTTGGTTAGTGGCCGCCCCTTCGAACAAAAGCCATAAAGAGTTTTCAATTTATTTAAGCGAAATCTCGGGCAGGTTGAGGTCTTGGCTGAAATAAACAAAATGTAATCAAGCAGATGGCTTCTTTCTCTCCATTTTATCCTGCGGTCTTTGGTTAGCCTCATCTGCGAAATTAAAGCGATTTTCATGAATTCTTACCTTGGTCGATCGAGTTAAAAAGTTTGCGGCCTGCGGCCACCAATTGGTCCTTATTGTCTTTTTTTAGCTTCTTTAAGAAATTTAAGTTCACTGTTTTATTGCTGAACAACAAGGTAGATGGGGTTGAATGGAATTTCTTTCACCTACTAAGCAACTTGTCATATGGCTGTGGGCTTATTCAAAATATTTACTTTGACCTGTGAAAACTTTTAGGGCATCGTTGCGGTCTGGGCCACCTCCTTTTAAAAGGTCAGTTGGCTGCCAAAAAGGCTTTGTGTCGAAAAGTTAAGCAATAAAGTTCTATGAGTGGGCGGAAATATTACATAAGCAAATATGATGGGACATCAAAAGGAGTGGGTTGTTTTGTTGGATGTGCTACGAAGAAAGAGGGAACCTTTAGAAAATATAACTTATAACTTAACTAAAGAGTTAACAAATGGAAGGTGTAACTACAATATATAAACAATATTTTGTTTAAATTAATTTTTTAGGCAACCGATTGCCGATTCTTAGATAGAGGAGGCACTAGTTTTTTTAATTAATCCGGTAATAAATTTGATGTGGTTTTAAAAACAAAAATTATGACAAACAAGAAAGGAAAGCTAACTTCGGGCTGAGCCGAAGTTGATATACCCTTGCAGAATACTCTGTAAATTATATTCTCCAAAATTATTCATATGATGCATTCTTAATACTCATAAAAAATCCCAACTTCCTAACTTTAAAAACACCAAAGTTATGGCATTTCCAATCGTTCAGTTATATGGCAGCTATAGGATATAGTCGGCCGATTTGGTAGGTCGGATTGATTGGCCAAAAATAAAACCCATAGAAAATCCCGACTTCCTAACTTAACAAACACCAAAGTTATGGCATTTCCGATTAATCAGTTATATGGCGGCTATAAGATATAGTCGTCCGGTCCGTATGAAATTTGGTAGGTCCGATTGATTGGCCAAATATAAAACGCATAGAAAATCCCAACTTTCTAACTTTACAAACACTAAAGTTATGGCATTTCCGATAAATCAGTTATATATATATATATAGTCGGCCGATCCCGGGCGTTCCAACTTATATACTGCGTGCAAAGGAAAGAAGAGTGTGTGCAAAGTTTCAATTCGATATCTTTAAAACTGAGAGACTAGTTTGCGTAGAAACAGACAGACGGACGGACAGACGGACATGCTTATATCAACTCAGGAGGTGATCCTGATCAACAAGAAAATATATATACTTTATAGGGTCGGAGATGTCTCCTTCACTGCGTTGCACACTTTAGACCAAAATTATAATACCCTCTGCAAGGGTATAAAAACAATGAAGCTATGTCGATTTTGCGCTGCATTTTCCCATCGTTTCTATGGCAGCTATTTGATATTGTTGTCCGATTTTGACAAAACTAAAATCGTAATTCTGATATAGTAAATAATTACTATATCTCAAAGAAATCTTTTAATAAATAGAAAAACAACAAACATTTTTATTCATTTCTATTTATTTTAATTTTTTGATTTTTCTGTGGGAGCTATATAGATGTCGAATTTTAATTTATTTAAAACCGTAATTCCATGGTATTTAAATAATACAAAGAACAAAAAAAATTAAAAACAACAAAGATACTTTTTTATTTTTTTCCCGATTGTTCCTATGGGAGCTATAAAATATAGGCGCCCGATCCGGCTCTTTAAGACTTATATATTACCTCCAATAGAAAGGCAACATTTGGGTAGAAACGGATGGACAAACGGACATGGCTAGATCGACTCTCATGGTGATGCTGATCAAAAATATGCATACCTCATAGGGTCGGAAATTTCTCCTTCACTGCGTTGCACTTTTTACTGAAATTATAATACACTCTACAAGGGTATAAAAATGTATTTGGACTGCGTTGTAAATAAATTTATATTAATCAAATCGATCAAACTTTCATTACCAACCCTTGTCTATATTCGTTTCTCTTTTCCGACTCATCCTTTGAGTTAACTGTTGCTATCATATATATATTCGGCCACTGTCCTCAACTTTCAATATGACTGCAATGGATTTAAAACTTCAAATTAGCTTCCTTTCTCGTTTTATTTATAGATATCCCTTGAGATTCTTAAATATAACTTTCTATAAATAAAAACTATGCAACTGCAAAGTAATTAGGAAAATACTTTTCTAACTGAATGTAAAAGAAAAATCAAGTTAAGTCAAATTTGGGCTCAATATTATAACTTAACGAATATACAGGCATGTTCCGGCTCACACTGTTTGACTCGAATTCGATTTCAACAAAATCGTGATATACTGTCAATACATTTTTTATTCAATTGTTTAAATTCCCATCTTATGTTAATTTTTCGTTTTAATAATTGAAATGGTACCCAAGTCTTTTTAAAAAGTAGTATTTTGATAATAGGCTTAAAATTATAAACATTAATTTAAGCCTAGTTTTATGAGCTAAAGCTCAACCTGGTGGTCATTCCTTTATATGGTTTATGACGTGACTAAAAGCTTGAATCCTTATAAAAGCTCAGAACTGCATTTGTACGGCCTATGTAGAAAATGTCAACATTTTTGTATTAATATAAGGCGTTTACAGAACATTCGTTCGCTCTGAATTGATGTGCCTCTAAAACCTTTTTTTAATTTCAAAAATGTAATGCAATTACAATATGTTATTTGTCTTTAGGTTTTGTAATTAATTCTAGTAAAACTTGATAAAACTTATTTGTATTAATTATGAGGTAACTGCTAATAATATGTTTTACATATCCTTCAAAATATATTAAGCTCATACATATTAAACTCGATCATGGCTTCCTTCTTACCCCAGAAAATAAAATGCTTTCATTATGAATAACTAAATAGACCGAGACTAAGGCATATTTTTAGTCAACGAATCATGTGAAAAAATAAATTGCACAGTCACAGGGCAAGGCAGCAATAACGAACCGAAGTAAATATTTTCATGTCACACACACACATATTTAAATATCCATTAAATGAAAGAATCGACAAAGTCGGCCGCAAAAATAAGTAGAATATAATAGCATTTTCAGGGTGCTGCCAATGAACCACACAAAGACGAGCAAGCCTCGACAATGAGAATCAAATTATCAACATAATGGCAGGAAATGAAAGGGAAGGAAGACAGTTAGGCTCTATAGCTAGGCGTACATATAAGGCTTGTTCATTCATAAATTGGTTTTGTGGTGGAAGAGTTGGGGTCACCTGTGCTTAGAAAGCTTTTAATTGCCTTATTGTTTGGTAGTTGTCGGCCAATTCAGGTATGAGATGAAGGCATAATAAATAAATAAATCAATCCATTTTAACCCTAAATTATCTTATACTTTTTTGAAGGATTTTTTAAAGATGAAGTTAAATTGATATTTCGTTTCATTAACATGCCTTGCTAATAAACCTAATTTAATTATAAAAATCTAACTTTTATTTCAGCAATTCAAGAATCGACTTATTCTTAGAGAAATTAACTTAATTGTTATTTGCGTGTATTTTTAGCACAAAAAAGGTAAAACGGTATAACCTGCGAGATCATCGCTCGGTATGGTTTACCAAATGGCTTCTTTCTGTCTTATTCCAATTTTCGTTGTAAAATAGCTTTAGAGAATTAAGGTCATATAATCAGCCCATATAGACAAACTTAGTACTCATTCCAAATGAGCCCGATCATTATATCCTTATTACATGTCTATGTAACTGATTACATAATCTATCTCTACTAATTACCAAATTCCCTCTATTTATTTATTCTGTCTCGCTAACCACATTGGACATCAAATATCTGCTGGTTTAAGCCATGATATATGTATTGCCGAATGGTCTTAACGCGACCTTGACGATGTCAACAACAGCCGAAATCGCTGGCGAATAGTGGTGTAATGCAATCAATTACTTAATAATCCCCAAGCAAAACTTTGCATAAACAAAACTGCTTGGCGAAAGAATAAGCGGACCCATGACAACAACAAATCGAGAGGCCGCCCGGCAAGACGAAGGACTTAATAACAAAAGTCAGCTGTTCCGAGTCCGGGCTCTCCCGAATTCTCCGCTCTGAAAGCTCGCGAAGGGCGAAAGCTTTCGGTTGGCCATGTGGGGAAGCGGGTCAACGCTGCGTATGCGTTACGTTTCACTTTCGTTGCCGACGAAGTAACTCAGCTTCTTCCATTTGGCGGCTGCTGCGACCCAATCAGACTCGTCCCGTTTCGATTTCAGTTTCAGTTCCCGTGCAAATCTCGAGGCGTATGGTTGTGTGTCCGCAGGAAAATTCATCCAAATTTCCGGCGCAAGTCGCGCGCTGATTTCGATTTATGTTGCGGCTGCTGCTGCCCCAAAAAGTAGGCAACTCGAGCTGTGCAAGAATGCCCCACTCAAGTCGTGTGTATCGGTGTTTAAAGCTTTAACTTTGCGGAGGCTAACGTTTTTATGAATGAACCGCTCGGGCTGTGTTAATTTTGAGCGATGAGTGCGCGGTCTTGTAAATGCACCACTTATTTTCGATGGGAATTAATGAGGATGCCCAATGAAATGAAAACAATATAAAACGCATTTTGAGGACAACGCGTCAATGTGGCTGCCAGTGGAATTTATAGACAGATGTCACATACAGAGATATCACATTATTGCAAAGTTTAAAGGACTGGCATATTTAATAGATCTTTGAGTGAAAATATATTTAATTTATTATTTTACTTTAAGGACAACGTTCCATTAAAAGTTAATGCTTAGCATTATAAGTTTTTTTTCAAACATCAATGCCCTCCAGTGCATATTTAGTATTTGTTTGAGTCATTCTCTCTGTATTCCTTAGTAACAAACCATAGAGGCGTGGTTATGAAATTGCAAAGTAAAGTAATTGATTTTCGAAAAAGTGTTATATGAAATTTAGATTGATTTAAATGAAGGTAACAATTTTATGGCACTTAAAATCGTTTGCGAAATGTAATCGATTTTGTTGATAGAGCTCTTTAGTAGAAATCTATTTTTTGAAATGACACATTAACCTTAAATAGTCAAAGTTTTGCGAAATTCTTATGAAGCTGACACTTTTTGCTTTATTTTTCAATTCCTGCCACACGGTGGGTAAATTCAACTCACGTGCTAGTCATTCTGAAAGCAGCTCAATAGTTAGCCTCAATGACTTCGAAGATTATAAAAGCTTCCTAGGCCGTCGCTCAAAAGCGAAATATTTATTTGAGAATGCGGTTCTTGTGAGGCCCATAAAGTGTCAGCATTACTTGTTGTTGTTGACTGGCTAATACGTGATCAGATCACACAACAAACCGCAACACTGGCAGCAACAACAATCTGAGAACGAGGGAAATACCTTTCCCTGCTCCTTCAACTTTGCCGTCGCCATGGTTGCCATTAAAGATGACACACGCCAGCCGGCTGACGCCTGCTTACATTACGAGTACTCTTCAGGCATTCCGATATCAATTCCACCATGGTGGCCATCGCTCATACGCACCGTGTGCCGACCAAGCACCCCCCGTCCGCTGGGCTTAATTGCCGAATATTTGTGTGCGGGACAACAAAAGCGTTTCAGCAATTTGCCAGCCCGAAGAGAAAAAACGTTTACATTTTTCAGTGAAACTTGTGGCAGCCATGAAGATTATGCTCAAGGATAAATGAGCCTAGGAGTTTAAAATTACCAAAAGGCAACTGCTGGAACTCTGCAAAAGTGAAATGGTCGAAGCGTTTTAATTGCCTCCGGAAAAAAGGATTTCCTGCTCTCTAGAAGTGTTTGTGTGTGCGTTCGGGTGAAGTGTGCGCTTGTCGCAGAAGGGCAAAGGACCTCAACAGGCCAAATCTCCAGCCAGACAAGCCTTTTCGTCTGTCGACAGTCATCAAAGCGGCTTAAAGTCCCAGTATCCAATACGCAGCGTCTAGGCCAAAGCGACGCACTTCCATACATCGGCACCTGGTGTGTGAGTATGCTTTGAAATTGTAGGTCCCTAGCTTATGTTTCTTTTAGGCCATGCGCAAAGTCAGCAAAGTCGGTGAAGCAATCCAACACCGAAGAAATCTAAGATCGAGAATAATTTTTCCGAGGTTTATTTTTACCTTTTCAATACACATTTCCAAATTTCTTTAATGCAGTGGTTTTGTTAATCTCATTGTTATTTTAAGTATTACTGAGTCAATGTATGCTAATTTAAAAATAACAAATAACAAAAGAACTATTAATTCTATAGTTCAAGGTTTTTTAAACAATAATTTTAGGCAAAAGGGTTGTGAACATGCTTATATAAAATTTAATAATATTATAAACTAACTTGTAAAACACAAATTTAAAACTAAAAAAATTGTTTGAAGAATATTCAATAATTATTTTATATGGGTATCTAATCAAAAATATTGGCTTATGTGGCGTGATTTGTATAAAGGAGCTTACATTGACAAAGTTTTGAAATTAAAGATACATATAAGTTCTAATGTATTAACTGTTATTAATTAATTATTAACATTAATACATCTTTAAGGAATATTTTACAAGGATGTTTATGGTTTATGTTTGTTCTATTTGATATTTACCATTTAAAAGCTAGGTTACCCAGTCCAAAACTACTTTAAAAATTTTTATTTACTGGAAATTAGGAAACCTTTTCTACCATATTTCTTAAGAGGCACACATACACTGTACTGGGCTCTGGTTTATGTTTCAAGCCTACTTGCTGCTTTTCCAGCTGCTTGTTATCCAAATAAACCTGCTTGTTATGACAATTCTCGAGTTCGTCAGAAGCCCACAACTTGACAAAAAACAAAATAAAATAAAATCGATAGAGCGTAAAAAAGCAGAGCTAGGTCAAGCGGGCTATGCGCGTAAATTAAAGCGTCAAAGTCACAGAAAAGTCAGACAGACACACTTTATACAAATAACAAATGTGATTTCCTCGGAACTGATTAACTCGATAAACTTTCTTCAGGGGAGCAAACAATCGCCATGGACATGTGGCAATAGAATGGAAAGCTTAATATATGCAAAACTTTCCGAGGACGAAATGTCTGCGATTTGCATGCCACTTGGCAGTTCATAAAGAATGATTCTGAGGTGGGTCAAAGCAGTGCGTTATCTGTAAATCATGCGGGAAAACGCCCAAATTGAATGAAAAGCTGGAATATAGTGTGCTGATTAAGAGTTTTTAAAAAATTGAAATGTTGTTTCGTTTTTTGAATCCACATCCTTAGGTATTATTTTTTTTTGGAAATGCTAATCGCCTTAGGGTCTGCTCTTATTAACTAAGTTGTATAGTTTAACCGTTATGCCTAACCTTCGAGTAACCTTGGAGGGACGTTTTCTTGAAATTGATCCCTTCAAGGAACTTGGTTCTGAATTCGTTTGAACAACGCCCATTAAGTATTATCTATTAGCCCAGTTCCCTGTTCCCGCCCACTAGGTCGAGTGTTGAAATTAACCAACATCGTGTATTCTGCAAATTCATTCTAATTTTGCTTTCAGTCAAGAACGACCAACTTCTTAGAAGAGCTTAAGCTGCCCCTAGTATATACATCCATCCGTGTGCTGTCTGCTTGTTCTCAAACTTCAAGTTGTCGCATACGCGACATAAATCCGAGCACATACACAACTACTTTGCTACAAGTATGTATACAAGGCCTATCCCTGGAAGGACACTTTTTGTTTTGAAATTTTGGTGGGTCCTCAAGTTGGAGCGCTTTACGAGAGGCTGTCAAAAAGCCAAGTGAGACGTTTGTGCTTATAGTCTTTACAACTTCCGCCTTATGGCTTCAACTACAAAATTTTGCATGGCTGCTCCCTAAAGTGTGCAACAGGATGCTGAGCCTTAACAAGTTTTCACGAGAGCAAAATCACCTAGCAAAATGTTGCACATGGTGGTGAGTTTCAGCTCATAATCTAAACAACATCGAATGAATTTTATATATTTATTAATATATATATTTAAAGTAGTACCTTGTTCGCAAGTCATCAAACCAAAAAAATCTAGATTAAAGCTGATTTCCTTTCACATATGTTGTATAGTTTCTATCTTCTTATCAATCTTATCATAAATTCGAACTTGATTGTAATGATGAAGCGCGCATTTTGGGGTGGTTGAGAAAAAATACTACTTATATGACTCACTTATAAGATTTTAAGACAATAATGTAGAATAAAAGTAATATATTATATATTGGACATCAAGACTTGAGTCATTCATTTGCTCACTGCAACAAGGACGCTTATGAAATACAGAAGCTAGTGCGACATTGTGTTTTCCGTACTGTATTCTTTTGTTCTTGAAGTCAAGGTTTTGACAAAAGGTTAATCAAATCTTGTTCGGGGTAGAGAAAAAAAGGCGGAAACTTTCAGGCAGGAAATGAGTGTTGCACACAACAATGATATTCGCCTTGCAGTCTGTTTCGGTGTGAAGTATGTATATTAATGGTACTTCATTATTACATTCATCAATGGCATACCCAATTAAAGACGTTTTTTCCCTAACTTTCTATAGTGATAGTCCCTTGAAAGGTTTTCCACTCGGGCAGGCTATAATCATTGAAAGCATAATTTGTATACCAAGTTTTTGGGAAATGAAAAGGAAATGCCAGCAAATAGTGTCGATATATATAAATATTGCTATATTTCAGCTTTAAACCAATGAAAGTCATTACTGGTAAAGGGATGTAAGCAATCCGACAAGTTTGAAAATATATAGACAGCAAAATTAGGACGAATTTTGCTTTGCCTTCGAGAAAAATGGAAGTATTATGTATCTTGTAGTCTTTCCTGCCCTCGGTTGTATTTTAAGAAACTCATTAATAAAATTATAAGCACCAGTGGATTGCTAATGAAATGATGGGCGTGACCCAACCCATTCAGGTTGGCCGCCTTTCATTCGACCTAAGCGGCTTTCCAAAGAATTTATGTTTAATTTTTCTTTTTCCCTTCTGGTTTAAAAAAGTTTTTGCGTTTTTTTCTATATACAAATGATTTGCTTTGGGGGTGTTAGCTCTTGTTGCTTCAATTCCTGCTGCAAACCGACCAAAATCTTTTATAACATGTTTATAAGCTGGCAACGCATTTGGGTTTCCCTTAGTATTTACAATTGTGTGATAAGGGGGACTTGGGGGTTAGGCGGAAATCCTGATGTTATTTAATTTTATTGCACATTTAATGAATTGGATATTCATTCGTTTTTTTTCATTTGCCTGCAAATATTTGAAATGGTTTTGCTTTTGTTAATTTAGGGGCCTATATTTACATGAATTATTGTCTTTTTTTAGGTATTTGGGGCTTATGCAAAGCGGATTCATTTATTTTGAGTTTCATATTTGTATTCTTTTTGTTTTGCTCATTAAAAGGGAATTATGAAATAAATGGCTTGCCTTAGCGGAAATACATTTGATTAGAATTTTGCTAAATCCGAGAAAATTAGGATGAACATTTGTATGTAAAGTTCCGTTATTATAGAGTAAAATATATATACTTCATTTAACTAAATAATATGAATACAAATTCCCGGCCGTTATTTCCTCTACTACTCGCTCAAAAATAATATTTTCTCAATGAAGTTAGTAAACTGAAACAATTTCATCATAACTCTATTAAATGAGATAAAGAATATTTGTAAAAATAGATAAACAATTAAATTGTGAATCTTTTTTATCTTATTTAATTAATTTGAAACCGGATTATCATATATTTTTCATTAGTAACGACTAAGCTTTAAAACTACAGCAGCAGAGGATTAATGTATACATATGTATATTTATTATGTACCTAATCCTTTTCACTTTTATATACGGGTATGAAAAAATGTATTTTTTTGATAAATCGCTTCCATTAACTGATTGGCCTAGTTTTTATTGCGTTCCCATTTTTTACATGCTTTCGAGGATGGCCGATGTTTCGTCTGCAAGCGTTATATCCATTTGTTTGCCTGTGGTTCTCCACTAAAATGTTGACTTTTCCCAGTCAAAGGGGAGCGAAAAATCGAAAAGTGTTTACTAGTTTGCTGACCCACATATCCGTTTCATATTCGACACCATACTGCATCTAATTCGCCGCCACGCGTTGTACTGCGAGCACATTTGTTTACTTCCTCGCACTGCAATCTGCCTTAATGCCATATTAAGGCGAGCTGAATGGAATTGAAAAATGGAAAAATAGAAAAAAGGAAAATAGGAAAAAAGGAGACTCGGAGCGGCGCACTGGCACACATGAATGCGTAAGCAGGCAACAGAAGACAGGACGCTGCAAATGCGGAAAAACTGGGGAAAGTGGAACGGAAGTAGAACAAAATGGTTTAAAAATAAAATCACGCTGTAAATAGACAAAAGTAAGGGTGGCGAGCCAAACAAAATAAAAACAACTACAAATTCTAATGGAGTCTTAGTTGAAATTTGGAATGCGTAGAAGTGCATATACACATATACATACACGTAAATTCGTGAACAGAGCGATGAGTGCATCTTCCATTGCTTTTTGTCTTTGTGCATTTATTCCGACAGGCAAACTTGTTTGTCGGCACCCCTTGTTTTGGTTGCTGGCTTCCATTGCTAATTTATCATGTCAAAAATGATTTAATGCCCTGCCACGCCCACTTGCACACCCTCAGTAAGGAATTGCGGCAGCAACAGCCACGAGCTAAGCGTTTATGGCTGCAGCTTGGCCACACCCCACCACCAGTATTCCAATTTATTTCGAATTTGTTATGCGAAATGATAAACAACGCCATCGCAGCTTAATCGGCAAAATTATGCAACACATATAGAAAAAACAAATTTTACTTCGACTAATTTATGTGGATTCAATGGTGTACTGACATGAGGGAAACATTGTAGCCACATCCTCGGATCAATTATCCAAGCAAATGCTGGCAATTACTGCAACTAATTAGGCCACTAATCAGGCCGAACAGAATCTGAAGCCAATGAGAAGAAATGTCCTGAATAAATTTAAACGTCG